GGTGTGAAAACTATTTGTTGAATATTGAGTACTTTTGTATTAGTTCAGCCTTTGGACAGCTCCTCTTGCAGGCTTTTAAACCCTCTAACATTAACATATGAATTGGCTACATAGTGCAAATACTTTACTTTTCATTACATTAATCTCAATGACCAATGCTTTCTGTCAAGCTTTTCTATTGCTCTCTGTCTCACTGCTCTTGCTCCATCCCATTTTTCTCACTCCGTCCTACAGCTATTTTTCCCACCCATTGTATCACATTTTTCTCCTTCCCTCTCTCTTATTTTCTACTATTGCTTTTTTTTCTACACACTTAACACTTCATTTTAACTGTGTTTTATTTCTGATACGGGCCCCATCCTTGGCTTACCATGTCAATTACACCATTATTACCTTCCCACATCACTTATACCAATAATCATTTCCAAAATCACATATCCCCTCCATATTGCTAATAACCATTATTCCACGATTATCTGTACATCCCTACATTACTTTCATCATCCCTTCTCACATTCCTCCTTTCCCACATTAATTGCCCATTCCCCCTTGTAAACATCACTTTCCCTATTTCTCTTTTCCAAATCATTTCCCCTGTACTCCACTCTCACATCACCTGTCCTATTCATCTCTCACACATTACTTGCAATATACCCCAATTTCAACATTATTAGTCTTATATCTCCGAAGTCACTTGTTCCATTCTTCTTCTAACCACACTTATCCTTTTTCCACTTCAGGCATTATATAGTCTCTTTAGCACTGATTTTAAGATGTGCACTTTTATAACATGGGTGGTCCTTTTCCCAGTTCTTCTACAAGAGGATTGAGAGTCTGAGGGTTCTTGTTGTTCCTAGAACTACACTCTTCTCGACAGCAATCTCAGATGTTCCACCTGGAATCTGGTGAAACCACTCCCCTAACTTGGGGGTCACATCACTGAGTTTTCCTATTACAAATAGGACTACTACTGCCATCACTTTTCACATGCTTTCTAGCTCTTCTTTCAGTCCTTGGTATTTGTCCACATTCTCATGATGATTTTAGTCACTGGATATTGGGACATCCACTGCAGTCTTCTGTTCATTGCCTACCACCATAATGTCATATTGGTTGGCCACTACTTCCTTGTCTGTCTGGATCTAAAAGTCCAACAGAACTCTGTCATTCTCAACTACTGTAGGTGGTATCTCCTATCAGGACTTAGGCAGGTCCAGCACATATTCTGTGCAGATATGTTGCTATCTGCACAGCAACTTGGCTGTGCCTCATCCCAGCAACTTGGCTGTGCCTCTTAGTGTAGGCTGTCCCTGCTAACATATTGCACTCAGCTACTATGTGCCAGATTGTCTCATAATCCTCTCTTGCATAGTCTGCACCTTGGATCTTGCCTGGCGTGATAGACCCTGGCTTCTAATGATCTGGAGTGGAGTGCCTATTCCTGTGCTGCTAGAATTAGTGCCTTAGTGCTGTCTTTCAACCATGCCTTTTTCATCCACTGGATACACCCCATAGAGAGATTTGTCTTGCTATGGAACCTCCTCCTTTTCTGCATCTTCTATCTGTTACTGTCTCATGCATACCCATAGCAGTTCATTTTTGGGAGCCATCATCATGATGTACTTGTGGATGCTCTGCCTTTCATCTAGGACTGTGGCCTTGGCACTCATCAGGCTCCAACCTCTTTTCTTCTGACTGGTGTAAAGTCTGGGTGCTGGATTTTGGGTGTAATTCTCCATTCATAGTAAGTGGTTTCTGGGTTTTGAAATCCATGGCGACCCTTGGCCAGGTTATTATTCCAGGTTGGTACCTGATAACTGGAAGGACATATGTGTTGATGGCTTGGATCTTGTTATTGTCATTGAGCTGGAACTTCAGGACCTGTCTGACTCTCTGGATGTATTTGGATGTTGTTATCCTCCTTACCCTGTGTTTGTGGTATCCCTGGGGTACCTTGGTATATGCCATATTTTATGTTATTGTCCTGAAAGCAACTTCTAGAGTTGTTTTCCACTTACTCATCAAATTTTTGATGAAGACCTATTGTCTTTTTGATGTAGTTGAGCCAAAAAGTCCAGGTGTGTGGCACTGTGTCCTAGGCTATCTTGTAGTCAATCCAGGTTGTGCACAGATTGGTCTGTCTGGTCCTATAATCGCATGTGACTGCTTGGCCTACCAGTAGTTTGTGTTGTGATCCTATGGGTGTTTTGAGCAATTGCTCGTGCCCTGATTTGACCATTGAGCGTTGAAGCTATGATGCTTTACAAGATGTTCCATGCTGTGAGGCGGCAGGTCACTGGTTGTTAGATGGTGCTGTTCCCTTGAGAGGATCCTTCTTGACCAATATTGTTCTGCCTTGTGTAAGCCAGTAAGGGTGGGAGCCTATTACTAGTAGCTGGTTCATTTTTGCTGCTAGGGATTTAGTGCAGCATTGTTCATTTCATTATCCAGTAAGTGTGGATCCAAGTTAGATTAATCAATAGGTGTGGATCATGCCAGGTGGGCTACTCGCTATTGGATATCTCTGACTGTAATGGTGACTGGTTTCTGGTCTGGGAGCATGCAGTAGTCTGCATTTATGTCTACTAGCCACTGGGCCTTGGAGTTATGTGTTTTTTTCCAGATGTTCCAGTACTTTTCAGTCTCTGCTATAGGTGGG